GAGAATTGATGCCCTAAACTATAACGGCGTTGAGTTATAATTTATATGTATTTAACCTTGATAATTTCATCATTGACTTGCAATTGTTAATTGTTAACCCTAAATAAAAGACAAAATTCATCCTTTGACTTTCTGAAAAAATAAATATTTGGTTGATGTTAACTTTTTTGATGTCAATGCATGTATCAATCTTTTCAAACTATTCAAATTTTTGCAGCGTCAGTAACAGAGAAAAGAAAGGGAAAAACTGCAGCTAATGTTAGTTGCACAATCTATTCAAACTTTTTATTTTTGCCGCTACAATTTCAAACCTTTCATTTTTATTATAGCGAAAGAACAAATGGGTGGGATTTCGTTCATTTGATCATTATTTGATCAGAATTTAAAAATTGACTTATTTTGGGCAATTAAGATACTTGAAATTGTTGAACTATAATTGTTGCAGACTGTACCCAATAGTCGACATTGCCTACACCACGAAGTAGTGAAATCGACTACCACCCGCTTGAAAACAAGAGGACTTGCGGTGGAGGTGGCGAGTGCATGGGTGGTTGCGCGGTTGTTGAGGAGGAAGACGACGAATGATAAAAGTTAATAATGTTTACACTTCGACAATACCCTTTTTTTAGGCGACAAACCACCGTTGCTCAAAAAAGGTTTTCAGGCCTCTGCCTAAACCCGGTTGAGGAGGGGAGTTAGGAATACCGATACCATCTTTTATAAATTAGAAGGACGGTCCAACACGACCTTCAAAATTTACACAGAAATAGTTAAGAGAATTAAAAGCGTTTAACCTAACGAATAAATAGAGACAGATGGGCAAAATAAATATTTATGTCATATAAAAATGAGAAATTAATGAGTAATGTAGTAAAATATGAAATGCAAGAGAAGACAAGCAATTGAGGAAAGATGTTTTAGCTCACAGCTGTGTTGGTACACTTGATAGGGTAATAAACAAAAAGTCTACTATATCGATCGACAATTGTACAGAGCCAAGAAGCTACGGTGAGTCGGTTTGAAATCGACAATGCAATTTATACGCTTAATTTATTTGCAAAAGACCTTGCTTTGCTTAATTTAATTTTTTTTATTTCACCGCCAGATCATTTATACGTGGCCAAGAGCAGAAAAAATAAAATAATTCTGCAATTATTAATTTATTAATTTGAAGGGTTACGTATTAAAAATTATAAAGACTTAAACGTGACAAGAAATTCTAACAAACCAAATCATTTTGATATAATAGTGTTTTGACTTGTTTGTTTACATCTATAGGGTGTTTTATGTATAAAATTATCGAGCAAAGATTTAAATTAAAATTATATGATCTTTTGACTTGTAAATTGGTAGTTAAATGAATAGACTTGCTAACAGTAGGAGGAGACTCCCCCGTTACCCACATTCCAACAAAAGAAAAAGGAAATATTCGTGCGGGACTCAAATCTTTCAGATAGTGTGAAAGTGACTCTCTAACCTTTAAAAGTGACGATTTTACTTCTCAAACTATTTAACATTGTGAGATTGGATCGTACGTGATTAAAATCGATGATGTGGAAGTTTAAATGACAAGCAACTTTCGTGTTAAAACTAGAAAATGATTTAAGTGGTTTGACAAATTTTCGTCCAACTTTATTCATATGAAAGTCCCCTGCAATTTTAATATGTACATTGTCTAAAATTGCCATTTGAGGTCTCAATCTTATAACGGTAAATAGGTTGGGGAAAAATCTCATTTTTGAAAGTTAGAGAGTCATCTCGACACTACCTTAGAAGATACATAGTTGGCCCTAATTTTTTCAAAGAAACAAGGAACAAGAGAATATTGAAAATCATGACAACTCGTCATCCAAGTGAGTTCACACATCGAGAGCTTGTTTGGTAGGAATTTTTGGGGGAATAATTGATTTTTGAATAGTGATATGATGGAAAATGTGTGGTTGAAAAAGAAGAAAAAAATTATTGATGTGATAAAAAATATTATTTTATTGAAAAATGTGTGATTGAAAATTAGAATTGATTTACTGTAGAATTTTGAGAATCCCTCCCAAACAGGGCCTATGTTTCATTCGCAACAGGATACACATTAAAAAATTGAATGCTCGCAAATCCAGCACATGCGGCCTCCAGAACTCGCTGGGTGTTGGATTCGTTGATGATGCTACCATAAATATACCATATGTGAAGATTATGATACTATGACTAACCTCAGCTTGTTTCGAGTCTTCGAGTTTGCCTTTCTCAATAAGCAAGCTTACATCTTTGTTTGTTATTTGGGAGAATATTTACAAAGATCAATTGAATTTCTAGTAGTACGATGGAACGACCCTTATCGCTAAGTTTATTACTTTCAAAATTGTCACACTGGATGCATTAGTAGTTGAAATTTTGCATTTATTGTGAACAAATATTAATAGACATCATTATACTAAGTGCTTGTTTGATAGGGATTTTTGGGGGAAGAATTGATCTTGAATAGTGATATGATGGAAAATGTATGGTTGAAAAAGAAGAAAAAATTATTAATGTGATGAAAAATATTATTTTATTGAAGAATGTGTGGTTGAAAATGAGAATTGATTTGAAAATTAATTCTCAAATCACTACCCAAACACCCCCAAGTCTGTATTCTCTTTTACCATGTACAATTTTTATACAACTTTCCTTACAAATTCAGGGCGTGTTCGATAGAGATTAAAATCAGATTAAAATTGAAAAATTAGTAGTTATGTTGACTTTTATTAAACGAGTGAAACCCAATAACGACTATATTTTCAATTTTAATTGAATTTTAAGCATGACCGCTTTGTAAACATCACATTCATCCATTTTAAAAACTATTTTTAGATTAACGGCACGGAACTTAACAACTCACTAGTTGTCAAATTAATTGTACAAGCTAGTTGAACAACTAGATTAATCCTTATGATTTAGCCCCAGTTTGATGTTATTTTTTTCTCAAAAACAATGTTTTGATTAATAATTTTTAGGATACCGTGTGATTAAAAAGTAAGCAAAATTTTGGATTTATGTTCATATATAATATTTTATTATGTAAATATCAATGTTCTAAATAGCGTAAAGCGTAGCGTAGCGTCGAGGCCGAGAATCAAGAATCACAAGTTTAAGCGTGTCAATGCGAAGAATAAACGTTATAATGCGTTTCGTATTTTTAATATTATTTTAATTATTTTTAAGATATTAAATATATTTTTATATAAAAAATAGATTTTTTTTAAGTCTGTTCTAAAATGCGTAATGCGTTGCGAGGCGTCGAGGTCGAGAATCAAGAATCACAAGTTTAGGCGTGTCAATGCGAAGAATAAGCGCCATAATGCGTTTCGTATTTTTAATATTATTTTAATTATTTTTAAGATATTAAATATATTTTTATATAAAAAATAGATTTTTTTTAAGAGGAAGAAAGGGGGGACGCTTAAGCGTGCTATAACGGTCAACAAAAAAGGTTGACTGCTTTTTTACACGAATACTCCAAAGCGGAGCGTTTTCGCCGCGCTACGTGCTTTAGCGCGCTATAGCAGCGCTATTTCCCACTATTTAGAATACTGGTAAATATACGTGATTAAAAATGAGTATATAAAAAAGAATTAAGCTTAATGTACAACAGGTTTGACACTCCATTATGTGTCAAAATCTGAACCGTTAATTGTTTAAAATGTTGTTAAAATCAATGTATAAAATGTGTCACCTCGTAACACCATCAAACTTGATGTACAACATTATATAAATTTTTTTTTTCAAATAATAGTTGTCAAATAGAGGTTTTAAACCATCCCACCGAATATTTGTCCGTACATAAAATACACACCTCCATAGATGTATATGTATATATATTTTTGTGCAATTATGCTAGCTGTACATTCTCGAGTTACATTGTAAATGAAATTCACCTATGTGGATATAATTCGATCATTGATTAAAAAAATATTGTTAAAATCAATGCACAAGAAGCTGTCACGTTGCGTAATATTATGCCTAATTTAGAACATGTACGTAGCAAACTTGATTTTTGTGGAGGGTTTTGGGCCTGAATCTTAGAAAAAGAGGGGCACATGACATAGAGGAAGAGAGGCTGTCAGCGTTTCTTTATCCAGCTGTATCAAAGCTGTTGAATTCAATGAGGTTTCTTAATCAACCCTACCTTATATTAAACAACTATAAAACTCCCAACAACACAGCAAGCAATTCACTCAGAAAAAGAAAGTAAAATCTGCACCATTTCTTTGTTATACCAACTTTACTTCCATGTTATTGAGTCAAATACACTCTTATTCTCCTTTGGTTTCGGATTCTTTGAATTTGTGGTCAAATAAAGTAGAAAAGAAAACAAAGTTGAGAATTGGCTTTCAAGAGAGAAGAGAATAAACAAAGTAATACCAACAAATAAAAAAAATTACACGAAAAGATAAAAAGTTGGCAAAAGTAAAAGGAAAATTTGTTTTGTGTAAAATTATTATTAACTTTTCGAAGACGTAGCTCCTGTTTGGCCTCTATTAAGTTAAAATTCATTACACGTCAATTTTTTTAAAAAAAATTCTTTTTTTAACTATACATTCTGTAAAAAATTACTAATCCCCTCACAGTAATTGGGAAAAATGGAGCCCAAAGAGGGACGTAATAATGGATTTCAAAAAATGTATAGATAATAAATGAATTGTAATTATCAAATAATAAGAAAGAAATTATTAATCTTCAATCTTTTGTATCATATTTGGTAGAAAAGATGAGATACAGCTCGATCTTGTTGATTATACTGGTTCATCTATTTGAAACATGTGCTCGTTGAACTCAACAAAGACAAACTAAGAACTTGAGATGCAAGGGAAGGATATAATTTTCTCATAATTAAAAGAAAAAAAAAGATAAAGCCAAAATGGTCAAAAAAAAAAAAGATTTTATAGACAAAAAAAACACACCATTTTTTTTCCTCAAATATATTTTGTCAACAAAGATGATGTTGCAACAACTGGCTTTCACAATTACCAGAAAATCATATTCTCAATCATGTGATTATCACCAAAAAACCCACAATCTTCGTGCAACCACGGGTGATTATAGTTCCACCCCACATCATCGGCGAACACGAAATCCGCCGCCCGATTCACCTCCACATCGAAACTCGCCTCCAGAATCGGCAGCTCCACTATCTCACTCAACTCCTCCTGTGCCTCCCCGCTTTCTGTGGAAACATCCTCCGACTGTATGGAGGATGACGTCACTGTCGAGGACGATATGAGCGACGTAGAGGAGGAAGATGACGTCATACACGGCAAAGGTGAAGTCACTTCCGGCAGGTGGTCCATGTGAGCAGCCTTGTTAGCGGCGGCCTGGACGTCGCGTGGGGAGCACGTGGCGGGGCGAGGCAGCAAGTGTGAGATTTCAGGGAAGTTTAAAATAGCGTTGTTGCCTTTAATGGCTACAGCTGCTACATCGTGGGCTCGAGCGGCCATTTCCGGGTTCGCGAAGGTTCCGAGCCAGATCCGAGATTTCTTCCGGGGCTCCCTTATTTCAGAAACCCATTTGCCCCATGCCCGCATTCTCACTCCCCTGTACACCGGATGCTTGCTATTAGCATTATCATTACCAGTTCTGCTCCTCTTTTCGCCATTGATTATTTCTTCATCTCTGGTTCGCTTTGGCTGGGATTTCGATGTCCATGTGGGCTTATTTGATGAAGAGATTGAATGGCTACTTGACTCAGCCATTGTTGAACTGGTTGATCGAATCTTATGCATACACGTATATAGAGAGAGGGAAGCGAGAGAAGTGATTTTCAGGAGAAGACTAGAGCAAGAAGAAGCATGTGAAAAGTGGTGAAGGGTTGAAGATGTATTTATATGTGCATTTGCATACATGTAAGAAAAAGAAATTATTATAAATTTATTTTTTTAATTCTTGATTGTATTTTAATATTTTTGCGTGGTAGTAGCAAGAGAGAAGGTATGAAAAAGACTGCTCAAAGTACAAACACGGATCGGGACTTCGGCCTAATAGTTACACCAATAGCATTAGGACGGATTTACTAACTGTATAAATTATAAATAAATAAAAATGAGTGATGAAAAAAAGTGAACAATACTTGTTGTTCTCTCGAAATATGTAGATAAAAAGTCGTTTGAGTTTTATAAACATGAACGAAGCATGGACTATAAGTACACTTTTACATTTGGTTCGTATTGTATTGTATAATATTTTGTGTTTTATATGTTGTATAAGATTGGATTTAATATTCTATTTATTTCCGTATATTGGCTAATTCGAATGTGTATGTTAAGGTACATATCCTTGGATCACTTTTCAAAACTCATGTCAGACGGGCTCTTTGTAATTAGATAAGTGAAGGAATTTTATTCAAATGACCAAAACGAAAAGAAAGCAAACTTTAATGATTATTTTAGGGCGAAATAGAGTTCATGGTCTATTATAAAATTCCATCGTAAGTTGAGGGACTTATTACCCTATATTTATTTGAAATGCATTGACAAAACACTATTCAATGAAAAAAAATTAGAAAAATAAGAGGTACTAATAACAAACAATTGTAAAATAAAAGTTATTTGTGATCAAGTTTGTGACATTAATCTCATGCATGTCATGTCTTATGTTTCTTATTCGTATTTCATGCGTGTTAAATATTTTATGGAAGCGCAAGACAATCTATCATTTTTCCTCTCTTGCTTGATTTATGAATACGCTTTGAAGTGTTAAATAGTATCTTAAGAGCATTCTATGAGCTCGTATTATTCTTAGATCAAACATAAACCTGTATTATCTCTCAATACATGTTTCATTTATTACATACTTCTATTTTTCTTTTCAACCAAAAAAAAAAAAAGACGAGTTTGACAGAGTACATAGACACTCATAAACATTGCACCACGTGTTGTACATGATTAATACACGTATATGCCACGTGTCAATTGGACGACTAATCACATTGTCTAAAAGACGTAACAAGTAAATTATCTTCTCTATTTCACATTTTCCTAATTAGTAGCACGTGTCTTTGAATTTTATATTGCTGACCAGAAACAAAATACATACAATTCAATATTTCTAGAGAAACAATCTTTGTCAATTATTAATCAAATGTCTTAATTGTAAAACCAATTATACAAGATTCTTATCTTACAATAATGGTAAATTGTACATATGAGATTTGGGGCAAGGCATTTTAGCCTTAAGCAGTAGCCCGCAATGTGAAATGCCTTGCTCACACTTCCTCCTATTCGATATTTATCCCTTTATTTCACCCTACCTAACATCATAAATGTCAAAATTTTATCGAGTAGCTCGGCATTTTATCATAATTTAACGGTTCCAATTCTATATCAAGAACAATATCGATATCGTGATGGACATTAATATAAATCATTTTAACATAGTAACACGTGTGGAGACAATGTTTTATTACATCCATCCCGCAAAGATAGACTTATTTCAATTTTCATATGGATTAAGAAAGCTCCTTTAATGTCATTGAAAAATTAATTTTAGATAAGTGAAGGAATTTTATTCAGATGACCAAAATGAGAAGAAAGCAAACTTTAATGATTATTTTAGGGCGAAATAGAGTTCACGGACTATCATAAAATTCCATCGTAAGTTGAGGGACTTATTACCCTATATTTATTTGAAATGCATTGACAAAACACTATTCAATGAAAAAAAATTAGAAAAATAATAGGTACTAATAACAAACAATTGTAAAATAAAAGTTATTTGCGATCAAGTTTGTGACATTAATCTCATGCATGGCATGTCTTATGTTTCTTATTCGTATTAGCGCAAGACAATCTATCATTTTTCCTCTCTTGCTTGATTTAGGAATACGCTTTGAAGTGTTAAGTAGTAGCTTAAGAGCATTCTACGAACTCGTATTATTCTTAGATATCAAACATAAACATGTATTATCTCTCAATACAGGTTTCATTTAATATATACTTCTATTTTTCTTTTCAACAAAAAATAAAAAAAAAGAGACGAGTTAGACAGAGTACATAGACACTCGTAAACAATGCACCACGTGTTGTACATGATTAATAAACGTATATGCCACGTGTCAATTGGATGACTAATCACATTGTGTAAAAGACGTAACAAGTAAATTATCTTCTCTATTTCACATTTTCCTAATTAGTAGCACGTGTTTTAGAATTTTATATATTGCTCACCAGAAACAAAATACAAACAATTCAATATTTCTAGAGAAACAATCTTTGTCAATTATTAACCAAATGTCTTAATTGTAAAACCAATTATACAAGATTCTTATCTTACAATAATGGTAAATTGTACATATGAGATTTTGGGCAAGGCATTTTAGCCTTAAGAAGTAGCCCGCAATGTGAAATGCCTTGCTCACACTTCCTCCTATTCGATATTTATCCCTTTATTTCACGCTACCTAACATCATAAATGTCAAATTTTTATCGAGTAGCTCTGCATTTTATCATAATTTAACAGTTCCAATTCTATGTCAAGAACAATATCGATATCGTGATTGACATTAATATAAATCATTTTAACATAGTAACACGTGTGGAGACAATGTTTTATTACATCCATCCCGCAAAGATAGACCTATTTCAAATTTCAGACGGACTAAGAAAATATATTTAATAATAAGAAATATAACTTTTTCTTACATTTTTCCTAATATATCCATATATTATATAATGGTTTAAATAGTAATAGTTTATATTAATTGATGATAAAACACATTAAATAGAAGTATATTAGAAAATTAATAAATCAGCTATACCTTCAATAAGAAAAATAATATATAATTTGGGACAGACGGAAATGAAAGCAAACATATCTTTATAAGACGAAACGGAGTATAAAGAATCTTGAAAAGTGGGACTTTAAATAAGAGGCTCTAATTAAGTTGGTCCCATAAATAATAATTAATGGTCCAATTCCAAGATAATATTATTTTGTTTTACCAAAATATGTGAACTGAATTTATGACACCATCAATGCCTTCCTAGAAACTTCATTGTTTTATTCTGAAATCTGAAAATCTTTAATTACCTTTTGCCATATAGAGAAGAGTAATTAAATAAAAGAAATTACTGACAAATTTCATGGTAAGCATTCAATGAGGTCAATAAATAAAAAGTAGGGACAACAATAACAAATCTTTACTGAAAATGGGATGGGTTCCCATTAAAGGGGATTAGGAATTGGTTATAATAAGTGTTAATATTATAGCATTTACATCAAAGAAATAGTTTGAAAGGACACAAATTAATGAAAAAAAAAATGTATCATTTTACAAGAATTTCAAAGGAAACCCTAATTTTCATCAAAATATCACAACATTCCTCTCCTCGGTCGATGTTATGTGGCCTCCCTCCCGACCTCTCCACTCCACGTGTCCCTACTGCGCCATCTAATTTTCCTTTGCCTCGGAATAAATTATACATTTGAGAGAGAGATTGCTTTTTAAAACGAAAACATTTTGGAGGCTGGCTATTTTTCACTTTGACCGGTGAAAAATACGCAAAAAAAAAAAAAAAAAAAAAATCACCATTTTTTCATGCAAATTATCCCCTAGAGAAATATTATACCAATTGGTCATTGTAATTTTATATTTTACCATTTGTGCAACTAGATACCCACTCCTTCCCATTTATATAGTATGATTTTATTTTTCACACGGATTAAGAAATCTTATTTAATGTTATTGAAAACATATTCTTTATTCTTAATAAAGAAACATGACGATATAATTGAGACAAAAAAATAAGGAAAGTCGACTTCTATAAATGGGACAGATATTGTAATTTTTTCCCTATTTTTTAACATACACAAGCAATTTTAAGTCACGAAATGTAGGAAGAAGTAAAAAAAAAAAAAAAAATAATTTTCATATTCTCGTTTTAGGACTCACAATCGTACCTAATATTTATGTCTATCACGTATGTTATAGTGCTATTATAAATTATTTGTAACATGTGTACTTTGATAATGGCTCATGAACCAATTGATATCAAGCATCTTATTTATTGATTCATTATGTTTCATAGCAACGCAATTTTCCAATCGATTGTACCTTACCGACCATAGAATTAAATTCATCTACCTTATATAAGATTAATTAATAAAAATAATTTTTTTTTTACTGTGGATGAACTGAATTTCAAGAATTTTGTATATTTTAAAACGAGATAAATTAAACGTGATTTATTGCTAAAAAATATTAATGTATTTGGACCACATTATTTTGAAAGAATTTATTTTGGAATGGTAAATTGATGGAGAATGTGTGGTCGAAAAAGAATGAAAAGTTATTGATGTGATGAAAATATTATTTTATTGAAAAATGTGTGGTTGAAAATGAGTAGAAAAATAAAAATAAAATTTTTAATGTGTACCAAACAAGGACTAAAATAGTTATCGTAAATTACTGGAATCGTACAGCACATTTTAAATGATTCCACTATAATAGTCGAATTATGAGTTATTTTCGAATGCTTATCGCTCATCGATGACAAAAGTAGGAGAAATCGAGGTAATATATTTATTAAAAGATGCATATATAACACGTAATCCCAACACAACATTTTTATAGTACATTAATGTCATTTATTAAAATAAATGAGATTTAAGTACTAATGAAAATAATGATTGTTACCTTCAAATCCCAAATTGATTTCGATTACGAAGTCTCAACTCTCAGTTAAATTAAAAGTAAGCAACACTAAATACGCAATAAAGAAAAGTTGCATCGATAAAATTTGTAAATTGTCATGTCTAATCTTATTCAGTAGCTCGAAAATTATATTTTGTGGGATAATTTTAAATATCTAACGTATTTCAAAAGTTTCATTTTCCAATTTTTCTAAACCAATATTGTAATTCTCACTCATTTTGGGAGAATTTATTATTTATTAATTTAAGTTTGCAGCTTTGGGTTACAAATATTAAATGAAAAAGGCTAATGTACGAATATAAAGTAATGGAGTTATAAATAAATGTGGTACGTAAAATTGGAAAATAAAAAATAATAAGTGCCAGCAACAAGATATTTCAGTGCATTCATATGCCACATTTATGATAATCATGTGATTATTTGATGATGTTAGTGTGCATAACCTTTCTGCTGCGAGTAACTTATGAGTGAAAATCCAAATAAATCCTTTCACAAGGAAATAGTTGTGCGTACGTTCTGGCTAATATGAGAGAGACGCAGGGAGAAAGTATGATCGTGTTAGAGAATTCATCGGAATCCATAAATCTTTTCCTTTTTTGCAGATATAACGGGAGTTGTTTTTGTTAGGAATTAACGAGTATTTTTATTTTTTCAATGTACCAAATAATTAAAAAAAAAGATCAAGAAATATAATATCAAACGAAAATCGAAAAATAAAGAAAGCACGTGGTTTACTCTCCATACGAGAGTTATGCCCACTTATCGCTACAGAATTTCACATAACAATAGGTTTCTATAATATCAACATAATAGCTAGTGACTTCACAAGTGTTTCTTTCAATTGTATCAAAAACATGCGAAAGGAATATCGTATAACTTCATTTCCTCATAAACGATTAGGATAAACAAACCCTAATGTGATAAAATGCGGTATAAACATATAAGGACAAAAAGTTTGGATGTAAAAAAGTTTCTTGAATTGTCACTTTCGACTTGGTAAGATCTTGTGTATAATTTTATTCATTCTCGTATATATTGCAATCCAATATAACATACCAAATTCACCAGCACATTATTGTTACCTCTTGCTTCTGCAACCACTATTATGTAGATATTGTTGCAAATACTTATGCTATTTGATGGTTAGAAGTCATTATTTCAAATTCAATGCAATATATTTATGCATATGCCATTAACTGACCTACCTTCAAACCCTCTTCACCTTGATTGTCTTATGCCAATTCAATAATATTATATATGGGGGACCAATATGGGCCTACAAATCTAAATGAAGCTTGGACTTTAGCAGAGAGGCGTTAAAATGGGCTTAACAACAGACCGGGTGGGCCCATTTAGATTTTATACTGACTGGCCCATAAAAAGCATAACATCCCTACTAAACATGAATCTAGAGCTGTAACACGACTATTTTGGTGCACACAAATTGATTCACTTGGTCTTCACAAATATGATACCATATTGACAATCACATAAGATTTATAAACTAGTCCCATTATATCTTAATGCATCATACACCTATAAATGTGGCCTTTAAGGCCCATGGTCCACAACAAATTTTATATTTTCTAGACTAAAATTAGCCTAGAGAATCATCCCATCATACAGCCCAGTCCGGCCCAGCCTGCTTTTGAGTTGGCCCATCTGATAAGACGTGGTAACCAATAGTGGGACAGGGAAAACTAAGAATATTCGAGATAGAAACTGTAAATCCAGGTAGAATTGCCAACACAGCGTCATATAGCCTAAGGGTAATCTGCCGTTCATCAAGACTTTCAAAAAGTTAAAAGCTAATTTTGAAAATAAAAATTGCTTTTAAGCTTGTTTACATAATTTTTGGAGACGTGTTTCGGACCAATTTGGCACAGAGCTTTTAAAAAGTCAAAAGCTATTTTTATGATTAAGAAGTCGTTTTTGAACATATTTGAATAATTTTTTGAATGTGTTATGCCTGAATAGAAGAGCTGGTATAAAATAACTTTCTTGAAAAACTCTTCTAGAAGAAGTAAAAGTAAAACTGTGTCAAATCAGCCCTTTGTCTTCTACAAGAAGCAAAAGCTATCCATAGAGGCTTCACTTAGTTTTAACTAGACAACCTTGGCTTGTATCCAAGATATTAACACATAATAACAAATTTGTAATGCTAAAGATTAAATTCATCGAAATATTATTTGTCTTCCAAAAGTTTAAGTAGCGGTCTATAAAAGAAACTTTCAAGCTTAACCTTGTCTTGTATCCAAGATATTAACACATAATAACAAATTTGTAATGCTAAAGATTAAATTCATCGAAATATTATTTGTCTTCCAAAAGTTTAAGTAGCGGGCTATAAAAGAAACTTTCAAGCTTTAGCATAACATACTTCACACACAGTTTGTAGATTGCTTCGCCTTCTGACTTGGGGTTCCTAGTTCCACAAGCATGGTCAGCAGGGCTTCACACATTTCACAGGCATCCGGTTCACTAGGTTCTCTCTTCCAAGAGGAGTACACCATCCATGCATGATCGAGTTTCCGGTCCGGTTTAACCACAACTGAACCTGGAACTTCCGCATCACGGCAAGTCACAAGACCATCGCTCTTCTCCCCGTATCTTAGTTGCAGATGGAATGCGCAGAGCGTCATGGCAGCAGAAACAGGAACTATAACGGGCACCTTACGCCCTGCTAGGACAGCATTTTCAGCACAAGGAAGCCAGGGAAGTTCTGCTTGTGCAATGTGGGACATTGTTGCAATAACACCAGGTGCAATATTCGCTTGAGAGTGGAATGAGACGAGAGGAATGTCGTCAGGAAGTTTATGTTTTCGTATGAATTCCTTTCGTTTTTCATACGTCAAATCCTCCAGTGATCGTATATCACCCTACATTGAAAAATTGTCATGATTAAAAATATTCATTCGGCTTCTAAAATCCTGAAGTACAGAAACCAATCAATTTTTGCAAATGTAACAGAAGTGCAGGATATGATATGATCTTTCTTTTAGAAGTTTAGATAAGTATAGGATATCCAATTTTTCAGGAACACAGATTAAAGTCAGTGTAGTCACATAATTCCTGAAGGAACTGTGAGGGACCATTTCGAAGTATTATCTTGGGTTCACGACAACTTTCGATAAATATTTGAGTAATTACGCCAATGGTCACTAAAGTTATTTTTTTTCTGTAATAATCACTCAATTTTTCAATTGTTGGCGTAACTACCCAAAATTTCAGTGGCTATTAGCATATTTAAATCTGTTATCTTGATTAGCTTATATCCATGGACCTCAATATACATAATTTCAAGAAGGATAAAAGACTGAAAACAGTGATCTATCATAAATTAATTCTTCAAAAATCAGAAGTATATAAAAACTTACAATGAATTTCCCAGAAAGTTGTAGGTTAACTAGATAAATCAGCCCAAATTTTCCCCTCAATAGCTAGTTTCAAGTTCGAATAAAGTTGGAGGGTTGCGGTAGGTGTAAGCTAACCACCACATTATGCTGTATAATTTCCCATCTTCTTTAATGGATCAACCAATATTACGAGTTTTGATCATGGGAAAAAGAAAATGTTACCTTAATCAGTTTGCATATTAGAAACTCCATGATTTTACGGGTTTCCTTGTCAGCCACTTGGCCTTCGCGAAGAATATCAGACGCCATAGGTGTACCACCATAAGGACTCTGCACCAATGCCAATCCTCCAACTTTATCCTTTAACTCATGCAAATAAATTGACAAAGCAGCTGCGGCATCAACACCACCTTTGCTGTGACCAAGCAGCATTACACGTTTTCCTGACCCCCAGTATAGCTCCTCTATGTACAGCTTTAGTTCCAATGCATTTTGTTCGACTGATGCCTTCGCAAGAAGAATGAGTGATTATAGCAGAGTTAAATTAAGAAAGTGATACAGATTTAAACTTAATACCTCACTGTGGATTTTAGCAATATGACAAGCTAGACCCATCTTCGAGAAAAACCTTTTGGTGCTCACAAAATATAAGGGACCATGATTGCTAAAAAGCCCTGAAAATCAATTGCAGAGATCATGTAAAGCAAAAACATTACAAATGTTCCAAACAAATAAGGCAAGAGATATTATTAAACCTGGAATTAGCAGATAAACAAAAGAATCAGGCAGTATGTGTTGTCCACTCCTAAAAGGCAAAAGTAAACGGAATGCAAGCGGTTAAATAAATTGATGATTATAATATTTTAATTTAAAGACCAACTGAAAAAAAAAAAATTTATAACAACCTTCAAATCATACTCGAGAGAGAGAGAGAGTTGACGCCTTTACCCTTGTTTAACATGACAATTAAATCAACATCTAAAAAACAGTTTCTACCATACAATTCCTTGCATAATCAAGAAACCACACAAAAAACATTTAAAAAGTGGTAGTTTTGATATCTCCCATCTCCCTCTCATGTCACCAATATAAAGGAATTTTGGAATCGGAATGGAAAATGATATATTATCTAAATCCTTTCTTAGAATCATAAATTTTCTTGACACACTTTTACTTTTTTGGAATTGATGGTTTCTTCAATTTCTCTTTTGACTGTTTGTTTAAATTACATTCTTGTCCACTACGAATACGCAAACTAAGCAACGATAGCCTAGAATTGTAAACATGTAACACTGGTAAAAACCTCACAAATTCAGAATCTGCTTGCTACGTGCAAAATTGAATGCATCTAAACTTAGTTATCAATGGCCAATTGCTTGGGCATATGATGATTCATAAATGATTGAAAGCATGTCATGTTCTCGGCCTATCTTGCTCAAAATTTATCTAACTATATTAGGTCTCCCACCTGCCTACCCAACCATTTTCTGAAGATCATATTTTTGTCTACATCATTCAAACAAAGAGAGGTGAGTAGGGCTCTAAACAATCATTCAAGGGAAGTTCCTGCTCTTTCTCATTTAGTCTGTGTTATGACATTATGAAACATAAACAAATATGAGTTCAGTTTTATTTAGCACACTAGGAGAAAAGAAAGACAAACAAAAACTACATGAGCATTCCAGAGGGCTCCTGTAGTCGTTCCTAACTAGATATTATCTTTTGTCAGTGCTCTCTCTTCATTTTTTCCCCCTCTATCTCTATCAGTGATCATTTTCCACTTAAATTGTTAAAAATTACTTATTTCCAAGCTCTACAACTGAATTCTTCTAAAAGTGGATAAGTTCAATTGCTGTCCCTCTGATACTTAATTCTTCATTATGGTGTTACTTGTGATAATTCTCAGTTCACATTTGAATACTATCATTTTCTTTTTAATATGTCCACATAATGCTCCATATCCAAGAAATAGTTACTTACATACCAAAAGTACCCTTTCCAAAAATGTAAAGATGCTTTACTTTCCCACATTTTTTCTCTCACTGAAACATTGTGCGAATTCAAGTAGGAACATTCAAACGTGGATGGATGTAGTATAGTTTAATGCTAGAGGAAATTCTCCAAAAAGGACCAAGTAGAAGAGAGTGAAATTTGGCCGACATTTTAAGTTTCTTTAGAAGTGATAAAATTTTAGCAGACCTACAATACCCTTCCCCTCCCCTTCTCTGTATTCAGATGTAACGACCCAGGTCCCACTTAACGGGCTGTCCTGGCCGTTAGATCGACGACGTACTGTCCTCACTGTACCAACATGGGTCTTTTCAGCATGCTTTGTCCTCACTCGCACGCTCCCCGAGAAAACTTCCCAGG